GCCCCCTTTACTCTATATTGCTTTTCAATACACATCTTCATAATTCAGAAAATGAACACAGTTTTCTTCAAAATGTCAAATTTATTAAGTACCAACATTTGCAAAAGGACAACATCTCCCCAGAGGAGACATCTCTGCAGGACATGCTGCAGATGTGTTCTCTGCCCACCAGTGCCATCCCTTGTGGCCCACAAGTGGCCCAGGAGACCTCTCCCTGCTTCCTCCCAAATCCTTCCATATCTACCCCATCACAGCTGAGACCAGCTACGTAACAAACTGCAACATCCGCAATTTGTGGCCACACAGGATATGTGGAAAGTTTTCCTACGAGCAAGGTGGTGCAGTGCTAAAAGGGGTCACCTGGACAATTGGGAACTTCTCCATCTCTGCAGGTGCTGGACACCATCCTTCTGTACTGGTGGCATTAGGGACCTCCATGGTCCCTCCCAGCCAGCATTCTGTGGGCTCTCTCTTAGGCCCTGTTGTGTTGTAGGAGACACCAATGGCCTGGCTGCTCTCTCTGGGACTTACCTGCCTTCCCCCCAAGCTTTACCCCCACCAGATTCACCCCTGCCAAGTCCTCATAGTAGACCATGATGATCTCCCTCAACTTCCCCTGTGACATCCTCAAGCTTCCCAGGAAACTCAGCACACACCCTGGGGAGACATCAAGGTCAGAGCAGCTCTGTGCATGGTGAGGAAGGTAAAGGCATAGTAGGGATTGGGGCATGGGGGGGAAGAAGACACTCAAGATAAAAATACAAACCACCTCTGAGAGCAGTTTTTTTTGCGTGTGAGTTAACCATCCATAGACACCGTTAACTCTAGCAGGAAGCAGCAGAACCAAATAACCCACTGATGCAAAACTTAAAAAAAAAAAAGAAAAAAGAAAAAAAAAAGACCAGAAAACACCTGGTTCAACTAAATATATGCAGTTTTGCTACTGGATGCCCTCCGTGCACACAGGAGACCCACAGCATCGCAGTCACAGAATGGGTAGGGTTGGAAGGGACCACACAGCCATACACACCATGCAATTTGCAAAGGAGAGTGTGTAGATCAGCACCCAGGCCGTGCTCTCTCCAGGCAGACACGTGTCACCACTGAATGTGGCAAGTTGCCACAGTGGCCCAGACAACTCTGGGAGCTGCTGATGAGGAGCAGCTGAATCCTGAAGAGGAGAATGCAAGGCGCTGAGGGAAGAACAAACGAATAATGTCACCATTCATTTTTTTTTACAGATTTATAACAATGGCTCTGTGAGGATATAACGCCTCAAAACCTTTGATCAAACGCCTGAGTGCCCACATAGGCAAGAATGGAGCCTGCAGAGAGCACAGGGCTGCCTTCCCCACCTCCCAATCCAGGCATCCTGGCACACACTCATCACCCCATGAAGCCACTTTAATAAAGAAGCAAAAATGTCTGAAACAGGAGACAGCTCAAACAGATTTTTATCACCACATCTTGCACATATCAAGTGAAATCAGAAAGGGGGAGGTGCAGTCCACAAAATAAATAAGCAACTAACCCTCACAGTGAAAGAGTCGTCATCTTGGCTGCAGAGGGGCTGGGGTGGGGAGTGGCAGCTGAGGAAGAGCTCATTAACATCGGGAAGATTAGTGAAGCTATCAGTGAAACAGAGCAAGTCACATCGCACCGCAGGAGAGCAGAGGTGAGAGATGGGGAGAGCCCGGCCATCCGCGGCTACAGCTGTGATGGGACACATGTTAAGGTACAAATCGCAGCCAAAAAAAATTAACTTCATTAAAAGCTCTGGTCAGGTGTAAGCCCCGGCTGGGTGTTTTTACACTTATCTGTAGCAGAATCAAGGCAGGACAGGCAGAGCGACAGCACCGCACTCAGCATCCTCAGGCTGGCCATGAAGGGTCCTGAATCCACAGCAGTTCCGAGATGAGGGATTGTCACCGCTTAAGCACCTACTCATTGAGCTGCAGCAATCGGTTGGATTCACGTATTGCTATTGCACCAAGCCTGAGGAATAGCACAGCCTAAAAGCCCTTCCAGATGGGTTTTAACTAACCAGTCTAATGCACTACCTGTTTGGGCAGCAGCTCAGCGGGCTCTGCTCAACAATGCCCCTCACACTGCCTTCACCAAAGATGGTTTTAAGCTGCGGTACACACACACCTATGCTTGGGATCGGCGCTGATTTAGCTGGGCTACTGCGAAACCTGCAGGAAGCAGGGACCTCACAAGTGCCAAAAAGAGGACTGGCCACCAGACAGCATCGACATGGCCCACCCTTTCCCGCTGTGTATCTCCTGGCCTCTGGGTGTTGCCTTTTTTGCCTCTTTGCAAGGTCCTCAGGTTTGACAAAGTTATCTTGTCCTGTTGGGCCGAACTGCTTTTTCTCAGGGTTGATCAACTTGTGTCATGCAAATTACCCAGGGTGGAGGTAAACCAAAAAGGGGCATTCAGATGGTTCCTTTCATGTTTTACACATCATTTGCATCCGTATTCTCTGCCTTCAGGGCAACTCTCAGTTGACTGAACACCTGCTTTTAGCTGCCGGGAAACACATAACAAACCTCCTTCTCCACCCACCCCCAATTCACACCCCTTCCAACTATCTAACTGGTGTCACTGAGACTTGCAAAACCCTCTTCACGTCAGGCAGGCTGCTCATTTTATCTTGGTCAAGACTGAAATGACCATATTCCTCTGCTTGCCATGTCCCAGAATCCCAAAGCATCCCAGCAAACCAAACTGAAGGAAAGGTGAGAGCCTCACACCAGGTCATGGGCTTGGTGGCTTCACATCTCTGAGCCCTGAGTGTTCTTTCTGACATCCAACTTGTCAGCCTAGCACAGAGATGCTTCAAAAAAAGGAGTGATGAAGAAAGAAAGCCAGATTGAGTGAACTTTACTGTGGAAAAGCCAGACAGACATCCAGCAGCCAAGTAAAAATAAGGCTCTTCCCCAGGAACCACTGATACTGCAAAAAGCATCCACCCTGCCTAGACACAGCCCTGGGATCTCCTGTTACAATGCTCATCCTTAACATTAATTCTCACTGCAACTCCAAGGAATCAGTTTATTCCTGTGATGCCTTAGAATCTAAGTTTGCTATAAATCACAAGAATTTGCTCTCTGGACAGAGAATTGAGGCATGGCCTGAGAGCAAAGAGACCACCAGCAGAAGCAAGCGCCAAACCCAAAGGCACTATGAGTCCCTGCAACATCTTCTGGTCCCCAAACTGGGCAGATGGAAGGCACAAGATGCATCTGTCCCCCACATGCACTTGTCTGGGGCTCAGGTAACTGGCAGTGACCACACAATTTCACTGCCACAGTGTTTTCCTGGCTATAAAAGGAGAAATCCCTCTCTCCAGGGCAATGAAAATACTCCAATGACTAGTAATACATAAAAGCTAACAGTAAATTTCAGAAGAAACTCTAAATATTTAAGAACAGCACACACACACACGTTCCCTTTGCTCACTTAAAACTTAACAAGAGAGATGTACTACAGTACATTATATTTCTTCCTTGACTTAAAGTGACAATTTTGACAATGGACCATCAACATCAATCCCTCTTGCTGAACAGGCTGCCCTCTGAAAACATATTGAGGGCATCAGCAGAAGCAAAAGCATACCTAAAATCTTCTAGAGTTGCCTCTGCTTAGGTACAACAGTTTGTATCTCTAAATTTCAATGAGTGTGGATATTTATCCTCACTGTAGTACGAACTAGCCAGTGCAGGATGAGCACTCTGCAAACACAATCAGAAAACAATGTTTCTATTCCTCAGAAAAACCAGGAGGCGAGGCAGGAGGAGGTGGCCCAGCAAAGGCAGGTAGGTAGGTATCTGTGGAGGGATTTCCCCTGGTTGGAAGATGCAGTGATGTGCACAAAAGCTCTGGAGGGAGTTTCTAATCAAGAGAGACCTGACATGCAGGTCCCAGTTCTTCACAGTACCCCACCTGCGGGCTGCTGCACCTTAGCTGAGTTACCAGGATGTGGATGCTCCCACTACAGGTGTCAGGCTCCCATAGGGAGATGGCAGGTATCGTTCCAAACCTTCCCGTGGCTGAAAAGCCACAAACCACATCACTCAATAAGCCAGAGACCAGAGCAGCTCCAGGGCTGGTTCCCAGGAGGTTCTAGTGTACCCCAAGAAGCCTCACTGGGTCTTAGTGCAGCAGCTCCTGGGGCTGGAATCATTTCCTGAGGCTGGAATCATCTTTCTGGTTCCCACTGGGACTGCAACAACCAGTGTGAGATGACCCAGTTGGACTGAAACCTCCTCAGCAATCACACCGTATCCTTCAGGAATGTACTTACGCTGCCAGTCAGGGTGTATAAATGCCGAGAGCAGGCTCAGACAAGTGGCTCACAGATTTAAGCTGTGTCCAAACCTTAAAGAAAAATTAAGGGCAGCTTAGGAGAGGCCAAGCTTTTATGCAGTGGGTTTGGACACCCCAAGCCACAAGCAAGCACCTTGAACTCCAGTCCTCCCACACAGGGTACAGACATTACACATGCCTTGAAGACCCTACATCCAAACAAGCTGTCTTGGCTACGCTGACAGTGCAGAGAAACAGGTACTGTAGGGAATGATTCATCCCATTCAGATGCCTAGAGCAGGTCAGGGTCAGGCGCTTCCTGAAAATATCCATTTCCCTACAGCGAGGCTGAAGGGAGACTGGATCAACAACGGGTAATGGCAGCAGAGCCCTCTAAATCTAGAGGGGCAAAGTCTCCTGCTGTGAAGCCCAAATACAGCCAGAAACAAGGTCTTTATGATGCACAGACCTCAACATATCCCAGATAGTCTCCAGCCCTTCTCAGACTCCCAAGCATATCTGCAGTCTACAACCCTCCCATTTGCCCTGAAGAGGCGAAATACAGGGAAACCTGCACAAAACATGAAATCTGGAGAATCAACAGAAGAGGTGTCAGCCAGAGGGTGCAGGGAAGATCAGGAAGGCTCGTATCTCCACATTTATGAGTGCTGAAAGACATCACCACTCACCTCATTTCCCAGGAAACCCCGGCAGGATCTGACTTCCCTTCCACTTGCTCCTCCTTGCTCCTTTTCGCAGTTAACGGAGACCTATATGACATTGCAACAAAAGAAATGTCAGCAAGCCCAACTTTGTCCCTTCCCTCCAACCAAAAAGCTTCAACTTTCTTTGTTTTTCAATATGAGGCTGCACTGGAAAGCAATTATATACAAATTTCAGCTTATATATCTATTTAAATATTTATATATCTATTTAATATATATTACCTTTATATATATATATATATATATATATATATATAAAATTGCAGCTGCAAAAGGACAGGCATCAGTGATGGAGCCCTACAGCCTGTCCCATGCTGGACACCCATGATGACACAGCAATGTGACATCAAAATGAGCATGATGAGGTTCTCCTGAGAACCATCAGCTCTAAAGCAATCCCTTAAACACTCCTAAAGAGTAATGGGAGGAAACACAGCCAGGAGTGTCAGGGAGCCCGGGATGATGAAGAAATGTGCTTGTGGTGCACTCCTGGGGCTGGCCCAGAGCCACGAGGAAAAAGGATGGAGGCAGTTGACTCCTGCTCCTTGACCCAGAGCATCCCACCATCATCATGGAGAGGATGTTGGCTTCTCCTCGTGGTGACCTCCACACATTGCTGACATCCCATAGTACAGCCTGAGGATAACACAGGACAGCCAGACGGACATCAGGCTGTTGTTCAGGTTCCCAGCACTCTGCTGGGTGGTGGGCCTTGCAGACTGTTTTCCCCCACCATCTAGGTCCCCATTTTCTTCTCAGGCCACAGAGCCCTCATCGATACAGCCATAAATCACACGTCCATATATCAAACAGCTGTATATCCCACAGCCTGCTGGCAGTATGAGCTTGAGGCAGAGCAGGGAAGGGGACCTTTATTACCATCAGAAAGGCCTCATCACTCAGCCTACTTAACCCAGCCACATTTGCACTGCTAAATTTGGGAGAGTATGAGAAGCATTCCCTCATAACAGGAGATGGGGGAGGGACAAGCAGGCTACTGGCCTCCTTTAACTCCCTGCCAAGTACTCTGTAATTTAAAGTCAGTGTCAGGGAAGCCACCCCGGGCTGCACAGCAATGGCCCAGACCCAGCAAACCTAGAGATCTATCGTTTTAACCCTTTCGAGTTGGCATCTGAGCTTGCCCATTTCAAGAAAATGATTGAGTCAGGCTTTAGGAAACTGCTCCCACTGAAATAACAGGTTTCCAGGAGGTATGAGGGGGGAATTCTGGACACCTCCATGCATGAGAAGGGCTCAGCTTCAGACAGCTGACTTTGAAGACCCTGCCTTGAAGGAATGCAGTGCTCAGCCTGGTACCTGCTAATAGCATTCCTCACCTTCAAACTGATTTAAGAAGCTGTGAATGACTATTTTTTGGTGCAAAATAGATGAACTATCGATGAACTATGTCAGGAAAGACAGTGTCAATACCTGCAGCAAGAAGGGGTCACCACCCCTGTCAGCACCTAGAAGCATTACCATGACCTGCAGCACAGGACCTAAAAACAAGTTATCACCAGGCTTTGCTTCTGAGATTGTAGAAGCAAATTAAAACTCCTTGTTGCTGGCAGGTACAGGAAGGAAACGTATGTTACAGAAACCTTTCTGGGCCCGCTTTTCATAAACACCATCAGCACCTGCACCCTCCTGCAGATGCCCAAAGAAATCTGCCCCTGGAAACCCAACCCATGGAACATCTTGGGGGAGGGGGAGGAGGGAAGAAGGTGGTGGTGGTGGGGGAGTGTTGCTGACCACACCCAACAAATAAACACTTTATTAAACCCAGAGAGTGCCAAATGTGGTGGTGTTTGTGGCAAGCCTGAAATCTTCCCCAGCACCCACACTGAGACATTCGAGGGAGCTTTTGAGGAATCCAGGCATGAGCCTGGGTTAAGAGGCCACGGAGCTACAGCTGCTCCCCTGAGACCTTTCCCAAGCAATTCACACGCACACACGAAAAAAAAACCTAGCTTTTTTTCAGTAGAAGTGGGCATCAAACGTTCTGACATCAAGAAGGATGATTAAAGACAGCTGAGTTGCAGGAAAGATTAAAAGAACTAAATATGCCCAACCTGGCTAAGCAATGAGTAAGAGGAGACATGATAAAAGACTCCAGGCATCTGAATGAAGGGAGTGGCGTGGCATTAAAGGACTGAATAAAATATCTTTCTGAGAAATGGATCCATCAACGATCTCTCAAGAGATAAGGTACAAGCCTCATTTTTTAGGCATTTATAAAACCGGTCGCCAGAACTGAGGTTTTTGAGGAGAAATCCACATTGCCCTGAAGGGAACACGCACTAAAGCTTTTCATCTCCAGCACAGGGTGCTTCGAGTAAGTCCATGAGGGAGTACGGGAAACTTGGGAAGGGGCAAATGTTTCATACCACTTCACCCAGGAAACAGATATGCTTTTTCACTGTAAAATTAATATATATATATTTGATTTTCACTCCTTGTTTTTAATTCAGCAGCCCTAATCCATACTGTTTCAGGTCTAGGGAAGAAAAAAAAGAAAAAAAAAGAGAAGAAAATAACCATGAACCAATTCAAAATGAACAGGTCTGGGGATCTTACAAGTACTAGACTCTCCTTTCCCCAATAATTAAAGTTGCATGGCATGGTATTAAGGAAGCAAGAGCCTGGATAGAGCTGAGCAGTGGTGCTCCTAGCAACTGCTACCCTTGCAACTCTAAGGACAAAGCCAGACCCAGCACAGACATGGGCAAGGTGACAAAATTCTGGAAAGTTTTTCAATACCTGGCTCTGCTGAGATGATACCCCTCAGTGAAAGTACCTTCTGACCCTCTGAAACTCAGGGACCTGATGCACTTTATGAAGATCAGAAGTGAGCCCTAAGGCCTGAGAAAACCACCCAGGAGGAGAGATAAACCTGTTATGCTGGCTTTGCCCCAAAAAGCCATGTAATGCACATACCTACCTAAATACCAACTCTGTGAAGCCAAAGCAGTGGATTCTATGTAATTTCATATGATGTCCAGCCATGTGAGGGCCTGCTGAACATCAGCACAGACAGAGGAGTGCACCCAAGGGAAGGAGCTGGCCAAAACTATTTACTGAATACAGACATATGCATGGTGAGGTTTCTACCAGCATCAGCTTATCAATTCTGATGTGCTGAGGGTTGCAATTAATCCCCCAATGTTCTTTCAGGTGCTTCTGCCTCAGTATTGTTGATGCAATTCAGCCACCTGGTATGATTTACAAAACTCAGTCGTATCCCAGACTTGGGTACCTGGGAGACTCCTTCATCCTCAGCTGGGAAAAGCCAGCTGTCAATGGTTTAATTGCAAATCACAGTTAAATTCACACAATGGCCATGCATACTATCCCAGCTGCCCTGGCTCCCCTGAGCTGGTGAGCCTTCTAAGAGGAAACTAGGTAGGAAAAAAACGCAAAAGGTGAGCAATTGTCTTCCAATTGATTCCCTAAACCAGTTCAGTGGGGCTTAGGCAAGTACTAGAAACCTTTCCCCTTTTGGCATGAACAAGATCAGCTGAACTGCAACACATGATCTCAGTCCGAGGCAACCTTTGTTTCCAAGACCAAGAGCGGATCTTTTTCATGTTATTTTTTCCCCTTTTCTACAGTAACCTCTTAAGTCTGCGACTGCCTTTCTCCATAGGAACAGGAGATCCACCGTTAACTGACCAGTGAGTTTTACTGCAGAGTTGAAACAGGATGTTCACAGGGGATTTTATTGTATTTTTTTTAATAAGTGGAGCATTTTAGTAGGTAATGAATCTTCTTGCTTTATGCTTGCTTGTCTCTTTGGGAGGCTGAAGTACAAAACCAGGCTGCCAGGTTCATTTTATATATTGAAGAGACATGATTCTGCTCTACCCAATTATAAAAAGACAACATAAAAAGACCTGTTCAAAGTGGAGGAAAGTGTGTTCTTATAGTTTAGGATGAGAAGGGAAAATTAAAACTTCTGAAATAGGTCATTATACCTTCTATCAAATCTTCCTCTTCCCACTGAATCAGCTGCTTCCATCACTTCAGCAACACTGATGCTGGAGATTACCTGGGTCAGGGTATCACTGTCACAAAGAATTAAAGGTTTGCAGGTTGTATTATGCGAACTTCCTCCTTTTCTTTTGATGGTAATTTTAGGCATCCCTGCTCAGGCCATGACTGCAGTTTTACTCTGCTCTCATAACCCATTCAGACTGACAGTCAGACCTGGCAGCCCTCACAGCTAGTGAGGCAGCAGGGCACAGCCCCTCTCTGACCCACAACTTATCTTTCCAGGAATGACTCTGGGGATCTCAAGAAGGAGATGTAAAATTTTGACTTGTGCAATTCCCACTACAGGGAATAAAGGTTATTTTTTTCCCCATTCAGATAGTTAAGGAGAAATAACTCTCTCAAAAACACAGAATAGTTTCCACTATTCAGAACAGTGGGTTGGGATAATTCATGTGTAAAACAAAAAAAACCAAAACAAAACAAAACCAAAAAAAAAAAAAAAAAAAAAAAAAAAAAAAAAAAAAAAAAAAAAAAAAAAAAAAATACAACAAAAAAAAAAAAAAAAAAAAAAAAAAAAAAAAAAAA